ATTCGTGATTTTTATATTCAAAAACCACCAGATACCAAATTTCGTCGAAATCAACATTTTTTCGCACCCCTATTGAGGGGTGTACTGGTAGGAATTTTGAAAAATTATTTGCAAAACCGGAAAGGGCATACAGAAAAACCTATTCAAAGACTTACCACCAGTCTCTGTTGCTGAGAAAAAAATTAAAGGAGAAATGGAAACTTTACCACTTTTTTTAGGGTGACTCCTAAACGAATACATGGAGTTAATGAATTGTTTGAGATTTTACAATGCAACTCGGCGGAATGCATTTGTAAACGGCCTAAATAGCTAGTTTTGGTATTCGGAGAGAAATTTCTTAGTAAAGTAGAACCTCTTATGCATCGCTCCTTGTTGCGCCAACGCTGCTGACTATCCTTCCCTCTCCGTCTCATTCGCAACTCCCGACTCGGCGAGGTGGGTAGGTTTTTACTTAAATGACCGTAACTTTTTTATTATGAAAAATTCACGGTAATGTTATAGAAAATAAAATAATCACAATGCCTTGGAGCATCGAATGCGCTATAAATATTGGAAATCGATATCGTGAAATAAAAAGTTATGAGAGTTCAAAGTGCGCACTTTTCATCTGCTACACGAATTTTGGAAGTTGACGGTCATTTTTCTAAAAACTGTGCATAAAAGGTAGGTAAATTGAATGCTTTAGATTCTGCTATAAATGTACTTTCATTTTACAAAAGGAATTATTGATGTATATCGCTTAGTTGCTGAGAAAATAAATACTTTCGGTGCGCGCGCCCGAAAATGAGTAAATTTCAACTTTAGCGGCCTATAACTTTTGTCAGGACCACGGGAAAATGTCGTAAAGCGAGATTCTGAAGGTTCAAACATTTCTGAACAAAATGGTGTGGGTCCCAATTCTTTCTACTCCGAAAAAAAAACTACCTCAAATAAGCGAGTTAGCGCCGGCTCTCCGCTGCACTACGATACCTGGTGATGCATCACAAAGAATCAATTGGCAGCTTAAGTTGCTGCAACCCAACACACAAAATTCAATAAATAAATATATCAGACTTACCACAGTGCGAAATCACGGAACCCATAATAAAATCTACCATGCATAAATAACATTTATAAACCCCTTAATTATTATGAAACTTTACCAGCAGCTTTTACTGGTTCCCACCCTAATAAAGGAACCATATATTTACCAACAAAAATATGACACAAATAAATGTACTTGATTACCCTGTATAAAATAACAAAGTTGTGTCTTCTACAGAATTTATGGAGCACAAAAATATGTATGCATTATGCACAATAAACCAGCAAACCATGTTGTATTTTAACTTTTCTTGTAGTATTCGCCCCGTTCAAATATATGGCATGATATTGCGCTTATGAGACACCCTGTATATATAGTGCATAGTTCTAGTAATTATCATGAAAAACAAATTCAATACATTTAAAACAATCTGTTTTTATAAGCAATTGACTTTTGTTACACAAACAGGCCACTCTTGTGATTTAATTTATAGACACAATCGAATTGAGAGACTTTGATACTTTAAGACCAATAACCTACTCAGAATACTATCTAAAGGTCATAATTTTGTTTTCGATAGTTTGAGACGCTCTACAAAGTAAGTATACACTCATTCAACTCCAGCTTAACCTTATTTCATTTTCCTAATCGATACTTGAAGTTTTAAGCACCTCAAACATGTTGAGACTAGATAAAGTAATTTAATGAAAAATATGATACAGCGAAAATAATTAATGATAATGGTCAAATTTAGAAATTTTTTGCTAAATTGCGTAAGTTAATCATGTATCTATATTTCGACATTTACGCGTGGGGATTTGGCGAATATAATACGTTAATTTTAATTGTATCGATCCACTTCGTTAGATTAGCACCATGCTTATTGCACTCAGGAGACTGATTTATTGTCACGGAATATTTACATTTTGTTACGCAACAATGGATAAGCTTGTCTTTCACTCTCTAGTTCTGCCAATTTAACGTATTCTGCGTACATCCATATTGTTAAGTATGTGGGAAATTAAGACAAAATAGTTTAGTGTCAAAGACGAGTTTCTACCCCCATCCACGACCGGAAGCGCAATACCAGATGTATTTATGGCAAGGTCAGGTTTAAATCTGACAATCATCTTAAACCTGGCAAACGACATAACGGATGATTTATTGTAATTTATTAGAAGCTCATGATCTTCAGATATTTCACTTGATCTGGTTAAATCAACGTTTACATTATTGTTTGCCGTACTAATGCTGTTGGAGGGAAATTCATAAAGCAACTGGTTGTCATCCGCATACATATGATAGGAACTTTGCTGGGTCGGTTAAGTTGGCCCCCCCCCATTAAACATTTCGTTATGATATTACCATGTAATAATGCGCTCGATATGCGCTCAAACGCGCCGCTGAAAGTAATTTTTGCGCTGTTAAAGTTTTTGAGATATTTTGAAAAACATTTGGGGGGGTTCAAGTTCAAGCAGCCCCCCCCCCATTATGCAATTTGGTATATCTGATGATTCCAAATTGTGCCTGTAGTTATGCGCTAAACTGCGCCACTGGATTAACATTTTGCGCCACTACCGTATGGCCATAACGAAAGACAGAAGGTGGGTGGGGCTAAATTGATGGTTTTAAAAAAGTGCACTTTTTTAAACATTCTTGTTTTTTATCTATGGAAGCATTTAAGTGAAATTTGATATTTAGGCGCTTGGAACAAAGGAAAATCTACATTAGTTTCAAAATTTAAGTTTGCGCATGCGCAGTTCCAACTTTCTTATTTAGAAAAGCATTGAAATGAAATTCTTCTCATAAACTGACATTGAAGTAGCACGACAAAAATGGATTGCCGATGTGCAACGCTATCTTTCATATTTGTGGCCGGATTTTTACGATTTTATAGAAGTTGCATCTTACAAATGGGAAATGAATGCAAGTGGAAATGCGCTTCATGTAAATCGTTTACGATTACTTTTTAACTTGTTTAGCTTAAACGGCGCAAAGGTTACTTTCAGCGGCGCATTTGAGCGCATAACTAAAGGGAACATATAGCACTAAGAATCTTTAAGAAAGTGCACTTTTTTAAAACCATCAATTTAGCCCCACCCACCTTCTGTCTTTCGTTATGGCCATACGGTAGTATATTGAACTACAACAGACTGAGGAGGTAATAGTAAATCTGGTAGTTGTTCTTTGTAGTAATTTATCCTAGTTGGAGCTTTCAAAAAAGTTTTCTTTACATTTGCGATTAATCCATCAACGTTTTCAAAGCTGTTACGAACAATTTCATTAATGACAGTCACTTTTAACAAAACAGCACGTCACCGTGAACTCTTACAATAAGAGTTATGTTTGACTTTATGATTCCAACTAATGCAAAAACCGGTTTATGTACGCTAATACGTGTCTTCTGCACCAGCACGCGGCGCAATATTGCTTTAAATTGAAATATAAGCGGTGTTTTGAAACACAAAAAACTTATTTCAGGCGGATTTCAGGTGATTTCATTATAATTGTGGGTTAAGAAAATTTAAATTCGGTATAATTAGGTAGTTCAGTTGCAATCATAGTTTTAGATTTTAAAAACGCTTTTAGGTATTTTAGGCAATGTAACATGGCCCTCAATTGACTCCAATTTTATAGAAACGGATTTATTTACAAGTATTTGTCCTGCACCTAAATTAAAAATAAAAAGGTATTTAACGTACAATCCTAGCCCTAGTTATTAATCATTATATTGTACAAAGTAGCTTTGGACATAGATTTGTTTGGTGCGCGATTAATCAAATGCTCGGGTAATCTTCCACCTAAGTTGTAAAGCTAAATATTTCCACATTGTTTCATAACTCAACATGCATAAACTGAAGCACCATTGTAACGATCCGTATAGTGAAATTTAATTTTATCTGCATTGCAATCTATGGAAGCCAGTTGTAGAAATAACTCTTTTAGTTGGAACGCCAGTCTAGATGCGAATGAAATTTAAATGAAATATTACTGGTATATTGTGCCTTTTAACTTTGTTTGCGCCAATTTCTCACTCGTACAATTTTTGCATTATAGAAGAGGGTGAGAACAGTTTTTATTGCAACGGATGAACTGCACTTGTTACTAAACAATTCCAGCGAAAGATATAGACAAGCTTTACGTGCCGACATAAAGGAAATTAAGATTGCTCTGAGAGCGAGAGAAATAAGACCGTACACTACGACTTTCAATCTAGAGATTTAATGAACCGTATGTAGGTCTTATATTAAATGAAACTAGCACATTTCATTAATAAGTTTATTCGTATCTAGGCAGTAGTCGGGTCTAGTTTTGTGAAAATCGCAATGCAAGAAGCATTTCATGTAACAATTGAGTTAACACCGGTTCTCCCCTATTTAGACCCCGTTGAATCCGAATATGCCATTTGCCAACTCGAAATTTCAACCGGAAGTGAGATATTCAAGATGGCGTCCAAAATAGCGCCAAATTTAAGTGTTTTTTTGCTTTTGGTCATATGTGTGCGATCCAAGTGTCTATCCCTAGGTTTTTTGGGGCGTAGAACACGATTAAATACTTAAAAATAAATTTGGTTAAGAAAATCACCAAGTTCACGTCGTGTTTGATAGGTATCGTGATCTTTCTGTCAAAGCCGGCACAAGAAAACACAGGTCGAAAGGTTTTGTCCCTGTACGGAGAGTTATCAAGAACGGTGGAGTTCCCCTGCCCAAAGATTGGACAAGCTTCCTTGCCATGTCAGAAAATAAGGCCGACCTCACGCGCTTCTTGAGTGAAGAAGCTATGAAGCATGACTTTGGCGGCTTAGAAGTGCTTGTGGCTGGTGGTTTTGTAGAAGCTACACATGTCCAGTCAACAAACGAAGCAAGAGACCTCACGCACTTCGTTGCAAACCACGAAGAGGCTGACGCAAGGATGGTGCTCCACGCCGTCCACAGCGACTGTGAGTCTGTTGTTGTTTCTGTAAGGGACACCGATGTATTACTATTATTTATCTACCACTTTGAACAAATGATTTGCAAGAAATGTTGGATAATGTGCGGGACTTACCGTGAGAGAAAGTACATTCCTATTCACGAAGTTTGTCAAAAGCTTAAACCCAACCAGATGAAACATTTACTGGCTTTCCATGCAGTTACTGGGTGTGATACCACATCAAAGTTGGCATCAGTAACTAAAACTGGCGCATGGAAACATTACACAGAAGAAAATTCAGCACTCCTTAGTGGACTTGGAGCTACCTCTGACCTGGCCAGCGATGTACTCGACAATATCGAGCAATTCGTGGTGCAAGCTTTGTACAAGGTTTGTTGCGTCCCCTTATTCACCACAAATTATTTGCTGTTAAAATATTTATTTTTTTACAATTATGTCACTTTTATTTTAGGTTGGGCCAGACATTACAATGTCAAATGCAGCGCGCGTTTCTCTTTTTGGAGCTGTAAAGGTGCTGGAATTCTTGCCGCCTACCAGTGACGCACTGCGCTTGCATATCCTTCGGTGCCACTATCAGGTAAAATTAATATTTTAAGTGGCGTTTGTACATTAACTGTCGCAGGTATTTTCATATTAATTTATTTTATTTAGGTTTTTGTGTGGAAAAACTCCCACGTGGCCTTCCCCGAACTACCTGACCCTAAAAATTGTGGGTGGAAGGTGGAAGGCGGGCGATATGTGCCTATTCTCATGACTCTGCCATCTATCCCAAAGTCATGCCCGGAGTTTAGTGTTTGTGGCTGCAAAGGACTGTGTAACACAAAGCAGTGTGGGTGTAGGAAGGAGCCCTGGGTCCCTTGCACAAAACTGTGTAAGTGCAGAGCAAAGTGCTTGAATGGGGCAGGTGACGATGACGATGAATGACGAGTATTAATGTCAATTGAATTCAGAAAATAAAAGTCCTTTAACACTTGTTTAAAATAATTTTGAGCATTTAAACATGCTCTAAATCCCCTCAGACACAGCACATAATTTTCTACACATTTCGATAAAAAAATGATTTTTTTGGTTAATATTGGTGAAATTTTGTTAAAATATGACTTTTTAATGGTGATTTTCTTAACCAAATTTATTTTTAAGTATTTAATCGTGTTCTACGCCCCAAAAAACCTAGGGATAGACACTTGGATCGCACACATATGACCAAAAGCAAAAAAACACTTAAATTTGGCGCTATTTTGGACGCCATCTTGAATATCTCACTTCCGGTTGAAATTTCGAGTTGGCAAATGGCATATTCGGATTCAACGGGGTCTAAATAGGGGAGAACCGGTGTTAACTCAATTGTTACATGAAATGCTTCTTGCATTGAAACGGAGAGCTTTTCTGAGATTTTAGCCCCGACTACAGTGTTTAACGAACTGTTGTGATAAGTATGCAAATATAGATATTCAGGTGTAAGGTATGTAGGTCCTTCGTGGCAATTAACGCCTACCTACTGTATATGGACTTATACCCTGTACATTTATGATTAAGTTAAGATGCGTGGGTTTTCACGATTCTTTACGATAGATGTTGCAGTATTTAGATGGAAATTTGGCATAGTTTTCTTCGTCGACCTCTATCGACTAGTTCGCTGTCGGTGTCAGTCCACTTTTTTTTTTCATTTTACGATATTGGTGCTTCTTGAAATTTGAATCTGTGTAGTAAGTAAACTTGAAAGCTTATGATCTATTAATCACCTCTCAAAGACACCTCCCCCCCCCCCTCCAATAAAATACCAACGCGCACGGCTTATGCCCGTTGACAAGATCTTTCCGACGACACCAGTCCAACAATCCGACCAAAACTGTAAAAAAAGATAAGAAAAAACTGAAATTTCACCACATTAGTATAACTCGGAGGTGGCGCCAAGATGTCGCTGATCCCACATCATTGTTTATTACACCGCCCCGGTAGGTGAATGTACACTCCTTGTCTTTCTACAAGCGTTCTTCTTCGAGCCCGCGTTTATTGTCAGCCGGCCAACCGACCAATGTGAGATTAAAAGCTACGAGCTAGTATAGTTTCCTTCCTGTACCTCCCTTTCTTATTATTGTCATCTCTCTGCCTCTCTTTCTGTCTCCTCCTCCTCTTTGCTGCTTGTACGTATGTCTGACTCGTCCTACACTTCCATCTTCTGCTTTCTTTCTTAATTCTGTGTTTGTCTCTGCTCCACTCTTCCCATCTTTCCATGAAAGTCCCCGACGCCGCCACCGTTTGGTCCATAGTGGTGTTCCATGTGAAGTAGGGCCGACGTACTCTCTATTCCGAGGCACGTAGATTCTTGGCCACCTGCAGTATATGATCTTTGTTCCTCCTGTTTATATGCCCCCAGTATCTAATAATAATAATGTCTTTTATTAGCTACATTACAACTGAATCCATACATATACATATAAAGGACAAAAAAAACAACATTCTGCGTGCTAAGTAGCTAATTGGGCGAAGTTCGAATGCAGTCTCAGCTCCGTCATCTTCAATCTCCTGGTGATCGTCTTCCCTTCTAGTAACTCCTTTATCTGCTTTCTTGTGTGGTTGCTGTTTTCTATCAGTATCGTTAAAGCCTTTCGTTCCGCCCTTCTCAATGTTTGTCTGTCCTCCGTATAAGATTGTCGGATCGTGTTGTATAGGAGCATTTTCAAACTGTGTTGGTACATACTTTTTGGTTCACCCTTGTTGCCCCCTTCTGTTTTTCATTCCTCTCAATTGGGCTAAGCTTGGCGTGTTCTCTACAAACTCTGCGAATTCCTTAATCTCATGTTCAAAGGCTCTGTTTTTCTCCTCTCTGGCCTCCCTTAGCGTCCGGTTTGTGTGGGTTTTGCCCAGGGCTTGCTTCCTGTTCGGTGACATGGGCGGTTTATGTTCCCCAAGTGTTTTGCCTACTGCTTCCCTGAGGGTTTCGACAATCCTGTTTCCAAGATGGTCTCCCTTCCCCCTTTTTGTTCCTGATCTCGTCCCGCTCCCTTCCACGTTCCTCCCTTTTCTTCTCACTTGTCAGAAGTCATCCCAACATTCAGTTCTCCCGCTTTGCTCCCTGGTCCTTCATCCCCCCCCCCCTTACTTTCCCCCTTACCATTTTGTATGTTCCGGCCTATACTCCTACTGTGTTCGTGATGATTATTTTCGATGGTCGATCTGTGATTCAGAGTTTCCTCTCCTCCATATTGTCAACACCGTTTTGGATTTGCTGTGATGTGTTTTCCACCCTCAGTCCATGCAGATGTACCATGTTCCTAAGCTCGCTGCCATTGCCGTTGTTTTGATCGCGCTTGAGTATTTTGCCTATCCTTTCTTCCTCTCCTTCCCCTCCGTTCAGTCTGCCCAGTTGCGAATTGAAGTCGCCCAATATGATTCCTGGGTATCTTCCGCTCTTTTGCTCTATTATTTTACTCAGCTTCCGCTTGTTCTCCTTTGTTCGAGGGGATGTGGCATCCTATAACCGTTAGTCCTCCTATGCTCGTCTTGATTCTCGCTTCTTTCTTCAAATTTCTCAACCTCGATGCCTCGGTGCTTCCTGATTACCATTGCCGTGTCTCTGCCGGTTTTCTTCTTCTTCCCTCATCCTACCCACCAGTCGTAGTTCCTTGTCGCGGCCATTCCACTTGCTAATTTGGTTTCTTGTAGTCTATTCTCTGTTCTCTTAATTCGTCGTCAATTAGCCCCCTTTTCTTTGGGTCGTTTGCCCCTTGTACGTCTCACGGTGCTACCCTCTTGCTGTTGCCTCCTTCTACACCCTGGCTGCTGTCCTGATTATTCCCGCTACTCCTCGGCGTAGCATTCCTTCCGGATACCACGCTCAGGCTATATTCGTTGGGGACGGCGGCTCCTCTCGCTTCTTCGTATTCCCCCAGCACCCGTGTTTGCCGGTGTTCCTCTTCTTCCTCTACCTCCCCTACCATGGTTACTGCTCTCACCACGTTGTCGTAGTGGTTTTGGACATTATTACTCCCTAGTCTGCATGATAGTGACCGTTATTGCTCGGTTCTATGATATCTTTCCCCGCTTCTTCTTCGTAGACCACTATCTGGCCACTATTGGCCGCTGCCACCAGTGACACATATTCTCCTCAGAATCCCTGCCTTCTGTGATCCCTGAGGTATGCTCCGACATTCTTCTCATTATTGTATATTGATCATACCGGGATCCTCCACTACGTTCCCTATCAATTGTGGGTAGAATGCCTTCAGGCCTTCCCTAATGTATGTGTTGGTTTCTTCCCTAATCCTTTTGGTTAATTTCCTGTGTGGTTCTGATGACACAGGGAATCCCCTAAGTTGGTGCCCAACCGCTCCAAACAGGCAGTCCCCATCCTTGACGCCCTCTAAGATGTACTCGTTTATGCGCACTTCTTCGGTCATCCTGTTTGACCGCTTTTGCTAGTCGTTTAGGTGGTATTCTGCCCTCTTAATCTTGGTCGGAGGTATTGGGTGCTATTTATTAATCGCTAGGAGAGATGATTAAACGCTAAGAGAGAAATGTGAAACTCTACAGGCACAAAAAACTAGCCAGCACTTACCTTTACATCCTTTGTTGTCCTGTTGGTTGGAGATTCCTACACTTCTCACAATATAATTAGTTCCGCGCGCGTTATTTGTGTCTTGATAAAGACAACTACCGCTTGTGCATGGAATAGAAGTTTGAATTAGAATTAGAATATAATTGAATATTAAATTGAATATAATGCGATTTACTTTAGGGCCAAGTGAAAGACGTTTATAATTCATATTTGGATTTAATTCCTTTTCCATCAGATATTTTAAAATGCTAATAACAAACGATATATCATCATCAGCAGCTTAACGTAACAATGCGTGCCGACCAATCGCGAATTTTTAGCTTGCGATAAGAAGCTAACGTTCGCCAAATACGACAACAAACAATTTTGCTCCTTAATTAATGAATCCAATTTGGCCACGCCGCCATTTTTTGCTAACGTAATACAGGGAATTTTAATGGAACTTGCGCAATTAGTCGGCGATATTACTGATATCATTAATTTTCATTAACATCCACGAACAGCTTATCTTTGCCTTTTCATATCCAAAGTTTATTTTTTCGGTTAATTATGTTTCATTTTTCACAGCACCAGACTCATTCCTTTGCAAATAATCAAGTTCGCTACGAACACATTAAATTTTTCACTTTTATCTTTTTAATTATTAGCAAAGTTCGTTGCTTAATTAAACACTCGTTTCCATTTACAATGAGATTATTACGAGAAGTATGAGTATTTTACCACTCGCATTTCTTTCAGCATCGTAGACTGTAAAGTGTAAAAGAAGAGAAAATATGTTTTTATGCGCAACGGATTACAGGAAATAATAGATGATTTCATGAACTAGTTCCAACTACAATTTTATTTTAATTTTATGAAAATATCATACACGGGTACTTGAAATTCCAAAAGAAATTAATAACTAGAAAATTGTAGTGAGGTTGACGTTTCATTTAGAATTTACACTCCCAATTACAATGAAATTTATTTTTCCCTAGTGGCCACTCTGGGTAAGAAATGGAAACAGTTCATGAATTAAATGTGCATCAATCATTATTGTTTTCACTTGGAACATGTGACGGAGTTCGTCCACAGAAAATTTTACAGTATACTAAGAACGCATCAAAATATAGATACGTAACTATTATAACCTTGTGTATGCATGTGGGATTTAGTATTGAAAGGAAATTCATTATTTCAGTTACTTATAACCCAAGCTGGATTTTGATTTAATCGTCATGACAATAAAAGGCAATTGGGCATTGAGAGAATTAACTTTAACTAGATGGTGAGTTTCCCTTTATCGTTGTGTATAAATAATACAAAACGTTATTTTATAGCAAAAGCCATATAAATCATTGTAAAGCTTCTGACAGTTCTGAATTTAATTTAGACGTAAAAAATAGCAAGCTTAGGTTCTGCTATCGCTATCGTTTCCATAAAAACAGCATTATCATATATCCTGAACGTCGTTTTACATCGTGCTTCGCTTCCTATTTGAAGTAAGAATGACAGATGTCATTAGAATGCATAATCAT